CCGTTTTAGACGACTGTGGTCACAAACATGTGGATTGCAAATTGCTACCAACATTTTATTCAGTGTTTGTTTGAGTGAATCGTTCAAAATAAACAACTGAACAAAATGGCACAAAATCAAAGTTTTAAAAACACAATCGGCATAATTTTCGGCAAGGAGTTGCTTCTTTTAAAAAAATAAAATAAAATAATAATCTTTTTTTTTTTCATGCTACATAAAATTATGGCAAAAAAATATAACTACTATCATTATTCATGTTTTTTTATTTTGCCGTTATGTGATTAATCTTAAATTTTGAATTTGATTAGGCTAAATTATCCTCTGAATCTATACACTACCGTTCAAAAGTTTGGGGTCGGTGAGATTTTTGTTTTGTTTTTGAAAGACGTCTCACCAAGGCTGCATTTATTTAATCAAAAGTAAAGGAAGATATTGTGAAATATTATTAACATTTAAAATAACTGTTTTCTATTTGAATATATTTTCAAATGTAATTTATTTCTGTGATCAAAGCTGAATTTTCAGCATCATTCCTCCAGTCTTCAGTGTCACGTGATCCATCAGAAATCATTCTAATATGCTGATTTGCTGCTCAGGAAACATTTCTGATTATCAATGTTAAAAACCGTTGTGCTGCTTAATTCGCATCCTTACTGAATAAAAGTATTAAGTTATTAAAAAAAAAAAAAAAACACTTTTGAAAGGTAGTGTAAATAAATATAGTGCACTCAAACTGCAAAGCCACTAGGCCAACACTCACATTTGATATTTTATATTAAGGTGGTAAGTTTTGATAATAATTAAATTAAATCATACAAAGACTAATACAAATAATTTTGAACAAATGTACCATGCCATTGGTCTTTACTGACAAATAAGCCATTTAAATATCAAACGAAGTAAATGTGTGCACTGCACTGAATCCCAAATGTCCCAAAAGTTCACAAATTAATACATATTTGCAACTTACATACAAAAGCATATACACTGTGCACTGATTTTTATTCTCATCCTAGTTTCCTCTGAGACTGTGACTCATTGATGTTTCATTCTGACTCATTATGGACACCATGTGAAGATCCTGACACTTACTTCCTTTAAATAGAAATAGAGATGACTGAATGCTGCAGTTGAACACTGAGGTGTCTCAATGCATTGGATTTAAGCAATGGGAATTTTCAGTTAATAACCCATTTAGCAGAGAGTTTATGAGCTGCTAAACATGTGTGAAAACCGACAGATTCACTGCAGCACCCATCTACATTCATGTACCTGTGCAGGTGAAGGTGGTCCTACAGGCTCCTCCATCTCAGCGCTGGTCTTGCCCTGCTCTTTAAGGCGCTCCTTAAGACGGACCACTTCCTGTCGCAGGTTACCCATCTCCTGCTGCCGCGCCTGACCAGACGCCTCCAGCTCCACCTTCTGCTCGATCAGCGCTTTACCCTGGGCCTCCACCACCGTGATCTTATGCCTCAGGTCATGGTTGATCTTCATCAGCCGGTTCAACTGCTGCTGGAGCTGGAAGAAACGCCATTTGTGACACATTAAACATCCACAATATGATGAATTTCAGAGTGAAACTGCACATTATGCACTTGTTTTTATCCACTGTGATCTCATTGGATCTTTAGGCTATGATGTTATAATTTTTTTCCAGCAAAAAATAAAAGACTTTGGCAACTTTATGTCTTGTATTTACATCAGTGCATTGACTGCTGCTAACAATCGAATTTGCTCGGCAAGAACACAGCTCTTTACCGCTTCAATGTCCTCATTTTTGAGCGTCAGTTCACGGTCTTTGGCACGGATCTCATCTCGCTGTTTATCTACAACTTCCTTCAGCTTCTTCATCACCTGCCGTTCCCTCTCAGTCATGCCTGGCATCACAAATAAAAACAAAAATCAGCACAAGCAACCTCATTTATCGCACTGAGAACCGACATTCAAGAAAATATCAAAACTATCAGGCATGTTACATTAATAACATATTTGGCATTTTTGATCACTAGTTCACTAGTTGCAGGAAGTTTCAGGGTGGTGTTTTGTTTTGCATGGATCAGGTCACTGGAAATAAGGACAGACGCAAGACGTCTGACAGACACTGTAAGCAAATCATTTCCTGACTGAGCGCCCATGTTGCTGCTCTTAAAATAGATGTGTGTCCGTGCGGAGAATCTGACACACAACCACTGACACACTTCACGTCAGTCATGACCTAGAAATACGTTTATTTGCACTGCATATATACTAATATGCAAATATATATAATATTAATATGTTTAGCATTTGACATAAAATATTAAAATAATGAATGTATTATCAATAAGTTATAAATTATATATACAGGGCAGTCTGACATAAGTCTGATAAGTTAAATAGAGTAAATTGATAAAAATATGCACGTTTATATATAGA